CTTTTACGATGGCGTATCAATGGCTACTGGCTGTGATGGTCGTGTTCCATCTCCGCTGCCAGAGGCATTATGCTAGTTGCTGGGAATCCCAGGTGGGCAGAGTGCTGCTGTTCTCAGGACCTGCTGACAAGTGTCCCACAGACATCCGGTTGGCCTCTGTGAGAACAGAAGTGCTGGACTTGATGGGTCACTGGCTTGATTCAGGATGTCCTCATGTTCTTCGGAAAACAGTCGTCACACGAAAAGGCAATAAACTTTGGCATTTGGAAAAGAAATCCATCATTTCCCACAAGGAAAATGGATCTCTGTGTATAATGTGTTGACTCATATCCTATCCCTCGCCCTCTCGTACCCTGATAGATGGGTCTGGTGCAGATGGGGATGTGCACCCCCAGCCACAGCCACTGCCGCATGCAACAAAGTGCAACTAGATTGAACTGGAACTGGTGTCTGCTGAGAAAGTATTCAAGCAGAGCCAGTGTGGTGCAGTGGTTAAGAGCGGTAGATTCGTAATCTGGGGAACCGGGTTCGCGTCTCCGCTCCTCCACATGCAGCTGCTGGGTGACCTTGGGCTAGTCACACTTCTCTGAAGTCTCTCAGCCCCACTCACCTCACAGAGTGTTTGTTGTGGGGGAGGAAGGGAAAGGAGAATGTTAGCCGCTTTGAGACTCCTTCGGGTAGTGATAAAGCGGGATATCAAATCCAAACTCCTCTTCTTCTTCTTCTTCTTCTTCTTCTTCTTCTTCTTCTTCTTCTTCTTCTTCTGAGTGTTCCCAAGATGTCTAACACCAGGCTTTCAAAGCAGCTGCTAACAAACTGCATAGGTCAGCGTTAGCATGTTCCGTAGCATCAAGCAGTGGCAAGTTAGACACCTTGTTTAGCTAATGCCACATTCCGATTGTGCACCTATCTGTATGTGTTATTTGCCCTTCACTTTGAGCCGTGGCCTCAAGCTATAGCCTGTATTTGGCACTCTTGTATCTGACAAGAGTCCTATGATCTTCTGTCCTGGACCTCACTTTCCTAACTTCTGCTTACTTCAGCACATTTGTAAGGTTATAGAACATAGCGTTGAAATACCTGACTAGTGCCAACAAGCCCTAAGGTATTAATTAGGATTGAAAGTAATAATAGACCAATAACTGAGATATTGGCAGAGGAGAGACTGTGTGGGAAGAAGAGGCAAATGTACATTATGTACCTTGTTAAATATATTACAGTCAACTTGTGCATGGTGGGGTTTTTTTTTTGAATGCGGCATTTGTCCTAAATAAGCCCTTAAAAAGCCTGTTATTGTTTAATGTAATATTTCTCTCTTCGCAACATTTATAGAGTCAGACTTAAAGAGTTTCCTCTCATTTAAGAAAAAAATCAGGCTTAAAAAGTCCAGACTGTGGGCTGGACCTTGATGAAGTTAGGTGCACTTAATTTCCATTCAGATGGATGGGACATTTTGTTCATGATTAAGTCCCATCGATTTCAATGGGTACTAAATACAACCAACTTAGTTCAGCCTTATATGGTTTTGCATGGGAAATGTTAAACATTTACTAAGTCGCTAGGCACTGTCCAGAGGAGGTTCTCTTCTGTTGACAGAGAATAAATCTGCAATTCTAAATTTAGGCCATATGTAAGTTCCATTGAATTCAATAGCGCATACTCCCAGGTAAGTGGCATTAGGATTGTGGTGCAATGCCATGAATCAGTGTATTCAGAAGTGAAACCTCATTGCGTCCAGTATATAGGGTTGAAGCCTAAATCTCACTGAACTCAGCAGCACATATTTCTGAACATGCATGCTTTAAGATAGTGCTATAAGTTCTGCAACTGGGAAAACTCAGCTTTAAGCCAAAGGAGCAATTCTATACACATACTCTCTCTCTATATATATATATGGTTGCACAATTTATCAGAAGCACCTATTGGCATGTGTTGATGCCATCACTAGCAAAGAACACACACAATTCCGTTTCCCACTTCCCAGCCTGGCACTACTTTGTGCCATTTTTAGAAGATTTTTTTTTATTCTTTTTATTTTTAGAAGATTTTTTTTTAATTCTTTTATCTTTAATCAAAATGTACACTAACAATACTATGTAAATATAAATGGTACTGAATAAATATTTGAGATCATGTTGTTCTCCACTGAGTATACAATCTATATCACACTGAAACATTTCCCTCTTTTTTCAGGACAGAGCAAAGTTGGCATAGATGGCTTGGTTAACCTGCTCCAGCCATGTGTTTATTTTACATTTAAACACCAACAACCACCTGCTTTTCAATATTAACTTGCAATCTTATTTACAATACTTAAAACATAAAACAACACCAAATCCAATAAAACAACAGAATAAATGAGGTAAAACCAGTCAGCAACAATTTATCAAATCATGTCTTCCAAAGCATAACAAAACAATCCTATCCTATATTTACTCAGATGTAAACCACAAAGAATTCTGTGGTGCTTATTCTTGGTTAAGCTGAGTATACAACTGCAGTTTCAATTAATCATATAAGTGATTCCCCCCCCCTTAAGTTTCTGCAAAACTGCTACTGCTGCTGGTGTTGGGGCCATTTTCCAAGATTGCAGACTACTAAGAAAGCTGCATGTGTTAATTGGCTTACTAGGGTTTTCTGGGCTGTCAATGACTTTTTCTTGGTAAATGGTCACAGATAATAATGTAATTATCACTATCTGTACTTTTCTGCATTTCATCTTCTTTTGACTCCGCTGTTTATGACACCCAAACATACATGCCCAGCTCCTGCTACTCTGCACAACGCTTCATCTTTTGTTGTTAAAGTATCCAGGCACAGGCTTCAGCAAAATTAGTGCATCTGTGTGGCCTCAGCACAGACCATACCCTGGGGCAATATTTCATATCTTGATGAGGGCAGGAACATATGTGTGCAGTGCTCCTTTGGAGCAGCACTGAATTGTATGTAAGCTTAGAATTTAAAGTGGGTTTGAGGCAGTAACTGTGCCTTTGAAATCCACTTGCTGCCTGATCCTGTGGAGCACACGCAAGTCTACACAGAACTGCAACTTGTTCTCTACCTTGCTTTGTTAGGTGGTATGAAGCATGGTGAAATTGTTCTTTAGGTGATAAATGGTTTATTAGCATTTAATTTAGTGTTGATGCAGAGAATGGCCATCCATTGCTTAGGACTAACAAATACTTCTAATAAACAGAAACTTAACAGAAACTTTAAAAGCATATTTTGAAATATGTTTAGCATATTTGTGCAGTTAGGCTCTTCTCTCTTCCCCAAATGCCCTTTTGTGTAACCCCCCCCCCTTTGAACCTCAAGTAATTCCTGGTAAGAGGAAGAAACTGCTATATACTGCACATGGATAATAGGCTATGTTGCTGCCTAAAACAATCGTAGCTCAAAATACACATGGACTTGATGGATTCATTTAGAAGTCTGCCCTTTCCTGGGTGTTCTCTGAGCAGGTTAAAGGTAAAGGTAAAGGTACCCCTGCCCGTACAGGCCAGTCTTGACAGACTCTAGGGTTGTGCGCCCATCTCACTCAAGAGGCCGGGGGCCAGCGCTGTCCGGAGACACTTCCGGGTCACGTGGCCAGTGTGACAAGCTGCATCTGGCGAGCCAGAGCCGCACACGGAAACGCCGTTTACCTTCCCGCTAGTAAGCGGTCCCTATTTATCTACTTGCACCCGGGGGTGCTTTTGAACTGCTAGGTTGGCAGGCGCTGGGACCGAACAACGGGAGCGCACCCCGCCGCGGGGATTCGAACCGCCGACCTTTCGATCGGCAAGCCCTAGGCGCTGAGGCTTTTACCCACAGCGCCGAGCAGGTTACATATCATAAAAACGAAATAAAACAGTAGAGCGTATCAGCAGCATCTAAAACCCTTTAAAATACAAGCCAGCATTGACTTAACAAAACATTCCTGCTTCAGGCACAAACACAACAGCAGCAATACAGGAGATGACTGACATATCGCTTACAAGAGATTAAATCCCTTCCAAGGACTTGTCAAAAAGTCTTCAGCTGCCAATGGAAAAGCATCAGTTTCAGGCACACCTGCGGGGATGTAGATTGATCTTTGTAGCACAAATAGATACAATTCATTAGGGTTTACAAAAAAAGAAGTTGTGCATCGAGTTATGTATCAAGAAGTGATTGGCTAATGGGAAAGCAAAAGAGGAAGAAAAGTGCAGAATCATGTTTATTCTTTTAAGACTTGGGAGTCACCTGCGCAGAAGCAGCTATAATTTTCTCAAGCATCTAGAAGTGATTTTCTCTTTCTCCAGCTTCTTCCAAGGAAGCGACAAGACCACGCAGGCTGTGGACCCTATGCAAACATTTAACCAGGAGCAAGTCTCATTGAGCATCCTGGCACTCACGTCTGAACATGTTTAGGATGGCGCTGTCGGTGACAAGGGCTTCTCTCTGGCAACGCCATCCCCATCCAGATACTGCATGTGTTTATTCAGAGCTTAGTCCCAGCGTATCCAATGGAACTTTGCTTACACAAATGTGGAGACCTGGGATAGTCACTTTACAAACCAAAGCATGTTTACTTAGAAATAAATCCGGGTGGGCACAATGGATTTAGACTGCAATCCTATACATGGGGCATTTAACTTACTTCTCACTGGATCTGCAACCTCTGAGATGTCTCCAGGCTTCTTCGAGCCCTCTGGTTTTCCTAGAAGACAATGGTGACCTTAACTTGCTTCTTACGGGTTCTTCTTAGGGCCTTCAGGTGCATCTTGGCCTCCACTAAGCAGGAGCAGACGAAGGCAGGCCGAGCCTGGCCCCGCTCCTCCCCCCCCCCTCGCCGTCCCCTTGACAGACACCGCCGCGGGCTTTCCAAGCCGGAGCTGCCCGGGAAGCTGGATACGGCAGGGGGAGGATGTTCGCAGGCTGAGCTGGCCAGAGGGGAAACATGAGAAGGCGCGGCTATTCACGTTCCGGGGCCCGACAGCTCCTGCCTGGGCAATAAAGGCGAGCGGCGGCCGCGGTCAGAGCTTGTGGTTCAGGAGCTCTCAGGGGCTGCTGCGCGCGCTGACAACGGGCGGCGGGAGCGGGGATGGGAGAAGGAGCGGCCGGGCAAGCGAGGAAGCGAGGAAAGCGGCAGCCCGGACCCACCTCACCACCAGCAGCAGCAGCAGCAGCGACCCTCAGCCGCAGGCGCCAGGTACAGCCATGGGACCCTGGCATGGGGGGAAGGCGCGCGCGCGTCATTTGTCTGACTGAACCCGACCAAACCAAAGGACGCCGGAGGCCGGGGGTGGTGGTGGTTTGACCTCTCCACCTTCCCACACTCGCTCGCGCAAGGCCAACCACCACCGCCACTGCCCCGGAGACAGAGTCGTGCCCTCTTGGTCGCGCTCCCTTCTACTCCCCTGCGTTTTGGGTCCTTAGTGGTTTTGCCCCTTTGTAAAAAGTGCCGCCGCGAGAGGGCAGCGTGCAGTTGCCCCGCGTAGTCCCGGTCGGGGCGGCGGGAGCGGGCAAAGCGCTCTCGGCGCTGAGGAGCCCAGTGGGAACGCGCGCCCGCCCGCGTAACTGCGGCACGCGCGAAGGTAACGGGGGCTTTTTAAACTGGGTTGAAATGGCATAATTCGGCGGGAAGGAGGAGGTGCGGCCACTTAAAGCGATTTGAAAAGAGTGAGGGACTTTCTCGGTGTGTGTTTTAAGCAGCTCCGGAATGGTTTTGGTTTTCGTGTGGAACCGGTTCGAGCGCGCTGGCGTTCCCAGACGCGCATCCTTCTCATTGGATACCTGCGGGGTGTCTTGTGAAAAGCGATCCATGTCATTCGGGGCGAGTCCGCTTTGCGCCGCCCTGGGCTTCCGGGGCCTCTGCGACCCACGAGAGGCGCTCGCTTGTTTGTCCCCCTTCGTGGCGCGGGCGGCGCTGCGTGGACGGTCGCCCGCTGCCCTGCGGCGCCGGCGGAGGAGCGGATGTGACCGGCCTGCCGATGGCGCCCCAGCGGCTTCTGCGGAGCGACGACCTTTGCGGGAAGCGGGTCTCGCTGCGGCAGCCCGGGGTCGTGGCGCTCTGCTCCTTTCCGAGTCCCCGGGAATCTGGGGCATTGGAGTTCGAGTTGTGCGCGCGCGCGGGTTTGCAAAAGCCATAAATTAGGACACGCGTTGTAGGCACCGACGTGCTGTGTGTTAACGAGGAATTGGAGACGTCTGACTGCAAGATTTGCTGGTTCCAGGACCTGCTCCGCTCCCCCTTCCCGCCGCTTTTGGCTCCTATGTTTTTGCAAGAGCTCATTGAGACGCAGTGTAGTGACTGCTTTCCATCACTCTCCTTTCCTATTATCAGCGTGGTTCAAATAGATTTCTTCCAACATCATCTGTCCAAAGAGTGGGGATTCTCCCTTTTGACAACTGTGGTCCTTGCCTCTGATTCATACGTGGTCTCTGCCTACACGGCTTGTAACGTGGGAGCCCCCCCGCCCCCCTCCTGAGCTAAACCTAAGCGACGGTGGTGTTGGACGGGGAGGGGCAGGGCGAGGCTTTTTCCTCGCAAAACAAGGAGGGGAAAAGGGACCACCTTCCTACAAACGTTAGCAAGGAGCCATCCTAAAGGGACAATTTCTGCGGTTGGGTGGGATCCAAAAAGGCGGGCAGAAAACCCCGCGGAGCAGGATAAAGAGGCGCTTGTAGTGGGCACGCATTCGTGTACACAAAGTCACACGCCCATGGACACGCGTGTCCAGGGGGAGAGTTGGTCCTCAACACGCGCGGACTTGAACTGGAGCCCTGGCGAATCCGGCGGCGCGCGCGTGTGTTCTTAGGATCTCGGCCCTGCTCGTTTTTCATGCGCACTAGTCAAACAAGAGTCTGAACGACATCCTTGCAAATATTGACAGTGGCCCGTCGAGTTAATTTCTCTGGTTACTCGGACGTTTTCGGCCAAGGAAAAGCGGCTGCGCGCTGGCTGCTTGGCGGAGAAAGTGGTACTTTCTCTCTTGGGGGATGGGGGGGGGAGAGAGGCCGGGAGCAGCCCAGGGAAGAAAAGGGCCCCGATCTTGTTTTTAAAACCATGCGGAAGGCGGACCCCCCTCCCGGATGGGGAGCCGTTGCTCGTGCTGCAGCTGATGGCTCGGATCCCGCCGAGCTGCGAGGTGGGAAGAAAACCCTCGGCCTAGAGGGAAAGGGAGACGCCGGGGCCAGAGCTGGGCGGCGGGCGGCCGCATCCTGCGCAAGAGTCAGACAGCCTGCGGCGTGGATTGTGCTTGGATACAATGGTTGAGGTGTGTCAGGGTGCTATGGACGCCGGCTTGAGACGGGAAGGGAGAGGCGGACGGTCCTCTCTCCAAGTGTAAGCCAGTAGAGGAGATCTGGGAGCCACCCAAATACACCGCCGCGAGAAGGGATGCTTTGGCCCGGGGGAGACGGACTGAGGAGCGAAGCAAAGAGACGCCCCTTCGGGTGGCTGCCGGTCCGGTTCTCAGGAAGATGCCCGCCAACCATCATCTTCAACTCCTGGTCACTGCGCTCTCTCCCGTTTCGGTCTCCACAGCCACCGCAGGCGCTGTAACTCTCCAAGAGTTTGACACCCCCCCCCAAGGCGCACTGCAGACAGACGGATGCCAACAGCCACAATTGTGTGTACATTATATGGTTATTACACTGTTTTATCCCCCTCCTTTACGTCCCAAGAGCGGGTATCTGTTGGCCCATTTTGACAGGTCCAGTATCTTCCTCGTCTGCACTTGAGAGGGTTGTGGTCGCGCCTCCATTCCTATATTTCCTTTCACTTTTGTGCGCTATCCCCCCCCCCCGTTCAGTTTGATGGCCTTACATCAAACGGGTCCCTGAAATCTAGAGGATGCTCATTTAAAGCACAAGTTTTAAATGAGCCCGCTCTTTAAGATGTGGAAGGTGTTTTTTAAGCGTTGGCTCTGTGCGCGCGCACGCGCGAAGGGTCTCAATGCATTGCAGCCTGGGTCATATGACGGAGGTTTTCGGGTCATCCGCTGGTCTAAAGCTCCGGCACCTCGCAGTTCCTCTAAACCAGGCATAGGCAAACTCAGCCCTCCATATGTTTTGGGACTACAACTCCCATGATCCCTAGCTAACAGGACCAGTGGTCAGGGATGATGGGAATTGTAGTCCCAAAACACCTGGAGGGCCGAGTTTGCCTGTGCCTGCTCTAAGCGCCTAACGTGTTTTTCACGAGAACGCCTTTTCACACGTTAGGCTGAAATTCTCCCTTGAGCTTCCCCTGTCAAGACGCCTGGCCCGGAGGACCTTCAGAGAGAGACAACGTTGGAGACACGTGTCGCTATCCCAGACACACAATGCCCCTTACCAACACGTGGCGCAAACAGCAGCAGCGAGGCGCATTTGACACCGCAGATAGAAAAGGCCCTCTCGATCTTTACGCATCTGCGGTTTAACAACCCGCTTTCAGACCTCTCGGCTGCTGCTTGTGGCACCTGCTCCTTAATAAGGGATTGGATGGGAAAGAAAAGGGATAAAGCAGAGCCTTTTTACACCTCGGTTTTGGAAAAGTCTGAGCGCCCTCACACCTCTCCAAATGTTAAGCGTTTCCATCCTTCACCTGGAACGCCTGTTATAAGATACATTCGTTTGATTCCTGGTTTTCCACCCCGCTTTTTGCCCCGTTTCAACAACCCCGTTTCAATGGGTCCAGCGGTTCTGTCTGACTTTCTTCGCCCGAGAATGGCCAGAGGGGAAACGGACCGTGGCCTCTCCTCGTTTCCAGCCCCCCTTGAGTTCGCGCAAGGAGAAAGATTGGAAGCCTATGGACGCCTCAAGATCCGCGGGGAGGAAATGTTCTGCCTATGTCCTTTTTGTCGACTTTGACGTGTTGAGGCTTTGTTACAGCGGATGCTGGTTCCCCGGGGAAAACGGGACACTCCGCCTGCCCTCGCCTCCACCTGCCTCTCTTCCTCCTTAAAACCAGTCTAGAGGGTGACCGGGCTGCCAGCTTCCTCCTCTGTCGTCTCAGTGTTGCCCTTCAGTAGGGAAGAGAGAAGATGGAGACAAAGTCACTGCCTGTCATTGGCTCCGCCTTTGGGGACCAGCCACCACTGGGCTTTAAACCTCAAGCGATGCTTTTTGAAAACAAGATCCCGCCCACCCCTTCTGCATTAAAGGCAAGTGACTGTAGTTCAGTCGTAGAGCATCTGCTTCCCATGCAAAATATGCAAAATATCGCAGGAACCCTGGAAACTGTGTGGGACCATGCAGAAGGAGAGGGCCCAAAAGGTCTGACTCGATATAAGGCAGCTTTCTAGGCTGAGAGAGGAGACAACCACGCCAACCCCAAGATCCAGGAACGCTGGAGGGTTGCAGTAAGGGACGCTCACTCCACACCTGCTAGGGCCATCACTTAAAAAAGAAGTTTAAATGGCACTTTGGACTTGGAATGGAAATGGAGGCTTGGCTTCCCGCCCACCTCGCATTGCGTGTGTGTGACACGAACTTGGATACGACTTAAATTTCGTGGGCTAAAGCTCCGTTCAAGAAACGCCACGTTCCCTTTTTTTAAAAGAAAGATGTCGGGGTAGCTCAGCGTGTGTGGGCAACCTTTGAGGGTGGGTCCTGACACCCCAAGCCATCCACCTGTGGCTTCCCAGATGTTGCCGTCTCCAGCTCCCATCTGCCGCAGGCTGCACGATCCATGGTCAGGCATGATGGGGACTGGAGTCCAGCAAACATCTGGAGGGCCGCAGGATCCCACCCCACCCCATCCTTGATCTGCGGGGACCGAAATGGCTTGGGCTGTCAACTCTTCCCTTTTCTTGCGAGCAATCCTATTCGGAATAAGGGAATTTCTCTTTTTTAAAAAAGGGAAACGTTGACAGCTATGCTCGGGACCCATCGGGCTCTTAAAAGGCCTCCCCTTCGTGTAAACGCATCCTCTAAGACCGAGTTCTAACAGCAGCTCTTTGGATGGTGGGTCAAAAAGCGGCGCGCTTGGAGTCCTGCTCAGGTGGGGGAGTCAGATGGGGATGCGCCTCACTTCCCTGAGTAGGGTCGAAGGGCGCCCTTGCTCCTTCTGTTGCAGGGGATCCTGGGCATCTTGCCCCAAAGCCCCCCCCTGCCTGCTGCCCCCAAACCGTGCGCCCTGGGAAGCGCGCTCGTTTCCGCGCCGCCCCAGCGGGCCGCTCCCCCTTCCCTTGCCAAACCCGCCGGCCTCGATCTCCTCGGCTTTGGCGTCTCCGGCGACTTCAGCTGCTTCCCCCACCCCCTCCAGTAACCCGATGCTTCTCCTCCTCCTCCTCTTGCAGCGCCCGTCGAGTCCTCGGCGCCCCTGAAGCGCAAGAGCGCGCGCCTCCTTCGCCCCGGCTGACCAGTCTCTCCTCAGCCCCGGCCGCCGGGCTGCCCGCGCGCCCTCCCCGCCACCATGAACACGATCGTCTTCAATAAGCTCAGCAGCCAAGTGCTCTTCGAAGACGCCGCCAAGGAAAGGGAGAGGAGCAGCAGCCGGCCTTACGCCGGGGTCTTGGACGTGTCCGCCCACCCGGAGGTCCTCATGCCTGACAGCCCGTCCATGAAAGACAACCTCAGCCTTCGCCATAGGAGAACAGGGTAGGAGCCCCCAGGCCGATGGTTTGGAAGGCGAGGGGTGGGAGAGACGCAGCTCTGATCATGTGGGAAGCTTTGCATTGTTGGATTAATCCTAATTATGTTCCGCTTTTCAGCCGGACATGAAAACAGTTCAGTTTCTCAAGGCAGCTCACAAATAACAATAAGCATTGGCTCTTTTTTGTTTTTTAACAATAACCAAAAAAATGTTGCCTTGTAGGTATTCAATCAAGCCCTTACTTGCCTTTGTAAAACTTTGCCCCACAAACATTCCCTTTCTGAACAGCTAGGGCACTTTAAATAGCTTTAGAGAACCCACCCTTCTTATGAGGACTTGTAAACAAATCCCCATGATTTGCATTTGCCTCCATTGATGTTTGTAAGATCCTAGTCCAAAGGTTTATGTAAAATCCCGCTGTGGTGGTCAGTGAAGCTGTCTCGCAGGAGGAAAAAAAATGTTTATGGTATTGCAGATAGTGGTGTAAAAATATTGGAGTGATTACAGACAAGTGTATCAAATTTAGGGCTTCATTTAGAAACCGGTTGCTCCCTGCATATGGTGTGAGTGTGAAAGAGAGGATTAGAGAGGGTGCTGTCTGAAAGTTAAGTAATTTAAGGGTAGATTTAAATCCAAAACATGAAATCTGGAAGTAAGTAAACTCTAGTGATAAATTTAGAATTTATAGCAAAATATTAAGAGACAGGCCATGTGGTAAGCAGCAAACCACCAATGGACAGTGTAATAGACAGTAACTGAACCAACTAACGAAAGAGTTCATTGGATTGAGGACATACCAACAGTGACTGACAAGATTATTGCTGTCTATAGTTCTTGCCGGGGTTTTTTAAATATAGAAAATGTATTTTGCAATAGGATCCAACTCCTAGGAGCCGAGGTCCCTTTGCTCCCCCAATAAAATATGGGGGGGCACTCCACCCCCCAATTGATGGACATTACCATTCAAATGGTGTGTATGTGCCATGTCTTGTGATTGATGATGCAGGGTGGGGCTCAGCTGGGACCCCACCCCCAATTATTTATTCAAGTTGGCAACCCTGTATTTTGCAAAAGCATTGCTTACAGTGTATTACAAAAGTTTATTAAAAGTTGCCTTCTTCCAAAGAATGGAACACAGGAGTAAGATTGTTTTGTATCAATTGCTACAACACCTATTGCATCCTTCTTCAATGTGGTGACCTCGTGTTTTGGATTACAGTTCCCTTCAGTCCCAGCCAGCAAAGACTGACATGTTGGGATACACAATGTGCTTTTACCCAAGAATTCATCTGCTACACACTAAGGCTGCAATCCCAACTCCATTTACCTGGGATTAAAGCCACACTGAATTCAGCAGATACAGTTAGGATAGCGTTGAAAACCCAGGATAGCTTCCACAGGTCCAAATAACCCAGTTTTACTCTTCTTGCTCAGGGACAGGCAGAAGGGAGAGAGGTGCCCCCATTTCATCTTTCAGCAGCATAATTCTAGACACTCTTGTTTTTGCATGCAAGTTCCACTGAACAAAAGGTGAGAAGCCTGAGGATAAACATGTGTAAGCTCAGGCTGCGCATCTGTAGTCAAGCGATAACTCGATAAATTTAATACGGTGCTTAAGAGATGTCCAGAATGCTAAAGACTGAAACAATATATTTTATAGCTGAGTTACCAATTTTAAAAGATTGCATCAGCTCATACTTCTAATAGCATTTCAGGTTGGCAAGAGGGTGATTGTGTTTCATCAAGATTTTATTTCCAGCTGATTCAGGCAGAATTAGATTTCAAATAAAGTGTTAGAAGGCAAAAAGCCCAAGAGGCTAAAAAAAAAAAAAGGTGAGAACTGGGAATTTTGGGGAGGGGGGGCAGATATGGAACAAGCCGCAGATGTAGCCTGAGAGCAGCACCTTCTGGAAATGATTTGGTATTACAATCTCAAGCCACAAGTCATTAGGGTAGCAGAATGGGAGAAGGACAGATCTGACCCGTGGAAGCTATCCTGCACAGGTCCTAGTGAAATGAATCAGAGCCATGCTGTTGAGCAGCTTGAAGATATTAAAACAGGGCTTGTGTGCAGCAGAACATCCAGGTGGATTATGCCTCAGTCTTAAGTGTGTGTGTGTGTAGTTTTTCTACTTTGGTCATCAAAATATCCTTGGTTGGTTCTCAATGTCAGGAACAAACTTCCCATTGTATCTAATCAGGTTGTGATTAGATATGAACATGTGCATGCAGTTGTTTAGGGCACTATGGCTGAAATCCTATGCAGACTCACTTGGGTAAAAGTCCCGTTGAACGATGCTCAAGACCAGGCTTGGCATTTGTTGAGATGTGCCAGAAAAACCAGCAGATGTCTAAAAAGGTTGTTAATACCTGTTATTGGATGGGCTTCTGTTGGTGTAGGAATGTGCATTCATTCCATCAAGCAAAACCTTCTCCTTCACCCAGTGAAAAGTTCCAGGTACAGCTCATTATCTGGCAACAGATATCACGTCTTCCATTATGAGTGTTTTATTATCAGGAGCAGAGCTAAAATATTAATGGCCTATCATCACTGGATTGTCAGTGAAGGCCAAATTAATTCCACTTAAGATTGGCTTGATCTTGATGTGCAAATTCCTGACATGTGAGGAAGGGTGGTGCTCTCGTGGCAACTAGACCATAAACAGATGTGCGCTTGGGAGCATTGGAGAGGAGCATGGGAAACGGACTGCTGCAACATGTTGAGTAATCCGATGTTCAGACGGCTTTAATACCAAAACAAGCTGGACTTGGATCTTCCTTTCCTGTTTTTAAAAAGTCTTGTTCTAACAGTCTGTGCTGATATTAATTGTAGATAACTGGGGGGACTTGAAAAGGACAGTGACAGAGCTTCTGTCTGGAATTTAGCTTCTTCCTTTTTTTTGGTAACTCATAAGCACCCAGCAACTTTTGCAATAAGCAATCTTCTATAGGAAGAAGGCTATAGTCAGACTGGCCCTATTTTGGCTCCTTGGAGTTTTGCAGGACCCCTGCATTAGTTACAGTTACCCCTTCTACTCCTCTGACGAGGAGTGAACAAGCCCACACCTTGGGAATGATCAAAACTGATTCTGCAGCCCTCACTGCAGGTTTGCTTGCCCAGTCTGATGCCTTCCTGGTGGTGTGGACTGCAACTCCCATCATGGGACTCCCATCACGGTCCCAACCCTGCTGGTGAGGACTGATGGGAGTCATAGTTCAAAACATCTGGAAGACACCAGGTTGGGGAAGGCTGCTGTATACATTGCTCTGGAATGCATGCCTTGCTGCACACAGAACCCCACCCAATAACTTGAGCCCCAAGTGGGATGGTTTGAGGAGAATGCAAAGGACTGAATGCATCCCTGTGCTTTCACCACTGGATTCGCACTTAACCATAACCAATAATCTGACTTTGCTGCCACTGGTCTACTAGAGTAGTTTGTGTGCAGTAGCCCAGTGCTAGGTGCACATAATGTTGGACTGAGGCCATTTTAACTTGGAGCTGGTATGCCTTTTGCTGTTCTTCCCATGCCTCTGTTGGTACATGCTTTCTTGTGCGCCACTGGTGGAGAGCCTTGGTGACTGGGAGCGGCCGCCGAGACCACATAACACCGGTCTTGAAAGACTTACATTCGCTCCCAGTACGTTTCCGAGCACGATTCAAAGTGTTGGTGCTGATCTTTAAAGCCTTAAACGGCCTCGGCACAGTATACTTGAAGGAGCGTCTCCACCTCCATCGTTCTGCCCGGACACTGAGGTCCAGCGCCGAGGGCCTTCTGGCGGTTTCCTCACTGCGAGAAGTCAAGTTACAGGGAACCAGGCAGAGTGCCTTCTCGGTAGTGGCGCCTGCCTTGAGGAACGCCCTCCCATCAGATGTCAAAGAGATAAACAACTATCTGACGTTTAGAAGACACCTGAAGGCAGCCCTGTTTAGGGAAGTTTTTAATATTCTGTTGGGAGCTGCCCAGAGTGGCTGGGGAAACCCAGCCAGATGGGCAGGGTATAAATAATAATAATAAATAATAATAATAAGTTGTTGTTGTTGTTTGTTGTTGTTATAAAAGGCAGAGTTGAAGGGATGGCCTGTGTGAGAGAGAGAGCGTTCATCAGCTGTGCTGTACTTGCTTGCTCAGACTCCTGACTTACCTTCAGCTCTCTCCCCTCTCAAGGCTCACTAGGGGAATCCCCCTCAAAGTCTGCAGGCTCGCCCAACATAAAAGAAGAGGCGAAAGAGTTATTTATGTCAAATACCAAGTGTTTTCTGTTAACAAATACTGTTTTGTCTACCTCTTTAAGAATTATTATTTTAAATCACTCTTCCAAGGTCAGGCAGCGTTTCAGCAGCTTCCTTACTCGGGGAAGGCTTGTTGTTTTCATAAGATGCTAAGAGACCGTATGCAGGCTCCAGAGCTGCAGTAGCAGAACAGTTCAAGTTACTGAAGCCTTCAGCTTGGCAGGTCCTCTGCCTCTGGCCCCTGAGCGACGGCCTTGAATCTCGCTTGCTTATTGCAAACAAATGCAATGTGTACGTAAATATTCCTTAATGTCATTATGGTGTTCCACGCAGGCTAGGAAAAAGAAATAGAGATGAGGCAAGTCCTTCTCCGCTTATTTGATGAGCACCTTTGGTGGAAGAACCTGAAAAGTACTTACTTATGTATAATTTGCACATCCAGAGTCTCATCTATTCCTGTAATGCATGAAGCCATTTAAAAGTGGGGTGGGGGTTTCCAGCAGTTTCTTTAGATCCTTGTAGAAAGAACTCTTGTCTGCTTGTGGGCTTCTCAGAGATGTTTGGAGACATCTGGACCAGATGGACTTTTGGTCTAATCAGCCAGGTTCTTTATGTTGCTTCCAATGGTCGCTGGAAATAGTGTATAGTGGTAAGGATATCTGGGAGCTGCAAGTACTAACAGACACTAACTAAAAGGCACTGAAATCCTGGGAGCAAGTCCTATTGAACACAGTTGGATTCACTTCTGAATCAACAGGGAGAAGGTTTCACTCCTCATTTAGCTAAAGTCAGATGTGCTCCACTAAGAGCTATGGAACTGAAGTGGTTCATAACTAAGGGCCCATCTGCACTATACATTTAAAGCAGTATCGTGCTGCTTCAAATAGGCCTTCAGGTGCTCTCCACCAGAGTTATGTAAACACAGGACTTGTACAGCATTTATCTCTTTTTCTCCAGCATCTTTTCCCACTTGACATGGAGGATACCCCCGCCCCAAGACATTCCCCTTCACAAATCCCCAGTTTCCCCACCCTACATCTGATTTGGAGTTTGACTGCCTAGGGATTTTGTGCTATGGTGCTGAGAGTAAGGAAGATCGGAGACGACAGGGCATGCTGACAGGCCCACCTGGCTATAATCCTCTTTCTCCTTGCATTGTACAGTACCCGACAGAACAGTGGGAAAGTGAGGCACAAGCGCCAGGCATTGCAGGACATGGCGCGGCCGCTAAAGCAGTGGTTGTACAAGCACCGAGACAACCCATACCCCACTAAGACCGAGAAGATCTTGCTGGCTCTTGGCTCCCAGATGACTTTGGTGCAGGTAAGAATGAGCTATGCCCCATTACCTGTGTGACTCACACCATCTCTGAAGATGGGCTGGCCTGGTTGCCCCACTTGTACTGAGCATCTTCGGGCTAAACTAGGTGTGATTGCAGCAGATCTGCATGTTTTTAAACCAAGGTGTGACATAATCTCATTGGAGGCATCTCCCTATATCCCACTGCCCAAACTACGTCCTCATCGGCCAGGCTCAGATTTTGGAAGGGAGCTCAGGTGGGAGAAACATATATTGGGTGGAAGATCAGGAAAGGTGAGTCACAGCAGCTTTTGGCTCCCTTTGCAGGATGTCAGTTTGCCAGAACAAAGGGATGTCTTGGGAAAGGAGCAGGCTCCTTCCTCCAGTGGTTTGCCTCTCTTCATCCAGGCCCTTTTCCCCAGCTCACTTCTCGTTTCAGATAAGAGAGACTGCAAGAAGGCCAATTATGAAGGGAAAGGCTTGTTACCCAGAGACAGCCCTACCTTTAAGCAGAGTGAGATGACCAACTTAGATGGCAGCAAGGCCTTGGGAGGAGAAATTGGTTTGTGTGTATCACGTGGCCTCTCTTGCCTAGGCTAACCTGCTGCCTTCAGGTGCAATGGAGGCTGCTCCCTCATCGCCAACATTGAAGGAAGATTCAACAGAGAGGCTGTAGCTCAGTGGTGGAGCACCTGCTTTGCATGCAGAAGGTCCCAGGCTCAGTCCCCAACATCTCCAGGTCGGGGTTGGAGAGACCCCTGCCTGAAATCCTGGAGAGCTGCTGCCAGTCAGTGTTGACATTACTAGACTAGATGGGACAATGTTTTTACTGTATATAAGACAGCTTCTTATATCACCCATGCAAACCCATGCAACTGCTCCAGTCTGCAGAACTGGCATTGTTACAGGTTCCACGTAAAAACTGCTCTGCATTTGTGAGAAATCAATGTTTCGGTCCTACAGTACCCATACTTTGTGACTCCCTGCTTATTGACATCAGGCCGGCAGCTTCCTCCACTCTTTTCAATGCCTGCTAAAAACATTTTTGTTTTGGCAAGCCTATCCAGACATGTAAAAGGTTGGCATATGTTTTAATCTGGGTTTTAGCCTATTGTTTGACTGTTTTTTTAATGTTTCAAATAGTTATTTTAATCCAAATTTTATGGGTTTCTTCTTTGTGTAAACCACTTTGAGGTTTTATTACAATCAGGCTTCTGTACATGAAATGGGGAGCACCATCTTATCCTTTGCTTCAGGCAGCAAAAATTTTTGGGGCAGTCCTGACAGTGCCTGGTACCCCCACACCCCTTTTAAAGGCAAAGATCGAGGGGTTCCTGGAGGACAAAGTTGCCTTCCGCAACTAGGTAATGATAGCACAAAGTTCATGGCGGCCTTTCTGGAACACCCTTCGCAAAACACTGTCCAGCCTCCATTCATTTTAGGAGAACTTGGGTTAGAGAGCACTTAAGGGCCAAAGTTTTTTGAACCGTGCCTTCTTGACTTCTCAGGGATTATGTTCTTCAGAAATGAAATGGCATGTTTGGTAAAAGAACACTTCCTTTGTTGTCTGCAGATCTGTCTTGGTTGACATGTAGTCCAAAAGCAAAAAATAATAATATCAAAAAAATAATAATCCAGATGCTCCTTCCACACGTCGCCCAGAAATGCTCTCACATCTGCATGAAAACACATCATTCAAGGGAAAGGAAAGAATGAAGTTGTGGTCCAGAGCAGATTGCTGCTTACAAAGAACTGATCCTCAGAGACACACAGGCAGGGGCACTATCACAAATCACACCGGAGTGATTGCAGAACAGCCCCACTGCAGTCAAACTGACTCAAATTGACAGTGATGTATCTGTGAGAACTGGGTCATGGTTTCACATCTACTTGGAAAAATTCGTTTCTTGTTCCCAAAAGCTGCACACTCCAGATTATCAAATATTGCTGCATAACTGGCTTTAATCTAGCACTGTAAAGTGCCAGAACATTTCTGGAGGAGACCAAAATAAAATGTGTTTTCCTGATTTGTATTTCCTAGGCTTACATTCCTGAAGCTTAGATTGGCCTCCTCCTTTTCACATCAATCTGTCCAATTCCTTAACACTTGCTGTGTTCCTTTTATTCAGTCCTGCTGTCCTTGTGTTTGAGCCACAGCTTTATGTTAAGTTGTTCTGTCAAGCCTTCCTTCATCACAGTATCTTTGTTTGTTCCATGCATACCACTTCAAGAAGTGTTTGCTAACAATTAAAAGCTGAGCAGCCAACTAGTTACAAAAAATTGATTTGATGAATCATGTTAGTTTTTAGCTAATTAACTGGTTACACCTGCGCATATTCGCATATAAAGAAAAATATAGTTTTAATATTTAGAGGCTGTGAGTGTGGTCTTCGGGGACATTTCCACTTCTGCCTTGCGCAGGACAAAATTACTCAGATAATAGGGTGGCTGCTTAGACACTGATAATTGGCACAACAAAAAATTGCAAGAGGATGCAGATTATGTAACATCTGTATATGGCAATTTATATGGGTGGTGTGCAAATAAATCAATCTAACTACTCCAAGGACCTTCGGCTGTGCAAAGGAAATTCCTCTCCTTGTGCCTGGTGACACCTAAATTGGTTACAGGGTTTCCCCCCAGTCCTCTGAGGCACATTTGGGGAGGGAATCTGGAAAGGGAGAAGTTAGGATGTGCAAGCAGAAAGCCCTGGGCTAGTGGATCTATTTAGATACTGCCCTACGCATAGATCCAAATTTAGAAATAATTACCGTAAATTAAATAGATATGCAATACATCTTCCCATAGTGGAGAATCACAGAAATGTAGAATTGGAAGGAACCCCAGAGGTCATCTAGTCCAACCCCCTGCAATGCAGGAATCATAGCTAAACTGCATGTGCATGTGTTTGTTTCATGTAATACATGCATGCAGAAAATGAGATTCCCGGTGCGTACTACTGTTGTTCCAGATACAGTGGTACCTCTGGTTACATACACTTCAGGTTACATACACTTCAGGTTACAGACTCCGCTAACCCAGAAATAGTACCTCGGGTTAAGAACTTTGCCTCAGGTTGAGAACAGAAATTGTGCTCCTGCGGCAGTGGGAGGCCCCATTAGCTAAAGTGGTGTTTCAGATTAAGAACGGTTAAGAACGGACCTCTGGAACAAATTAAGTATGTAACCAGAGGTACCACTGTACAACACTGTGACCAGGTGACCTGTGTGCCTACTCAGTCTGCCATCCAGGTGTTAACCGTTGATGGTCAACTTCAAGGCCTTTCCTGCTCTCCCATCCAGTGGCACTTTATCATTAAAGCAGACCTGGACTGCACAAGCCTTCAAAGTGAGCAAGGCCTTCACACAGCGAACATTGTCTGACAGCCCTTCAAACGGAGGACTTGTCATCCATCAGCTAGGATACAAGGCCACCCTTTCTTCACAATGTAGCTTGTCTTGTTATTGCATTGTGGTGGCTTTTAAAAACTACTCAACTGGGGAAATGTTTCTAGTCAAATCAAGATGCGTTGAATCAATTAAATGTAGTAAGCCTACTTAAAAGATGCTCTCTCCTCTCACCCTGCCTGTGGCCTCGCCTCTCTTCTTCTGTGCTGAGTACTTTTGGCTGTTTCCTCTGTCCGTATCGTCCCTGCATCCCCAAGGTTTTTATTTTTTGCCTTCTGCTTTCTTAACGCTTGCTTCAGTTCTATCTACATTAACACACATACATACATACAAAACCAGTTCTCATGCACCACGGAAAATCCTACAGAAAGTTAAAATAGTGTTTCGCACTTCCCTGAGTGGAGGAAGTTTTACAGTTAGGGAGGTGTGTGTGTGTGTTTATGAGGAATCATAGAGTCTTACAGTTGGCAGGGACCCTGAGGATCATCTAGCACAGCCTTTCTCAACCTGTGGGTCTCCTGTTGTTGTTGAACTACAACTCCCATGACCCCTAGCTAGCAAGGCCAGAGCTCAGGGATGATGGGAGTTGTAGTCCAACAACATCTGGGGACCCACAGGTTGAGAACCGCTGATCTAGCACAACCCTCTGCAATGCAGCTGTCCCGTGTGGGGCTCGATCCTGCAATCTTGACATTATCAGCACCACACTCCAACCAACTGAGCTATCGAGGCCCCCGAGGAAGTATTGTACTATGTTTGCATGGCATGTTTGTAGTATCATTTTCTTTTAACTGTACAAGCCCAGAAAGGGGGACTAGGCAAGCACGCAGACGAGTGCTTAGCTGTAAAAATGCCACCAGTTCTCCCAAAACCAACTGTGTGCCTTTTGGAAGACCCCCTGGTTCCTTTTTACCAGCCAAATGTAAAAAAGGTTGGCTCCTGTTGGCTCTCAAATTGTTTCCCTTCGCCCCAGCCAAGTAGATGGAAGATGTCCAGTGGCCACTAGCCACCAACTGCATGAGTTGGTCCACTTAGCGGGGTGTGGAAGCCTGGCCAGTGGGCGAAGGGAGAGGTGTGGGGTGGTGATGTGTCCTATTTTATATAGGACAGTTCTCTGCTGTGCAGTCCAAGTCTGGTTTAAAGATGAAGTACTATAAGAAGCTCCTGCCAACCTAGCAGTTCGAAAGCACGTCAAAGTGCAAGTAGATAAATAGTACTGCTCCGGCGGGAAGGTAAACGGCGTTTCTGTGCACTGCTCTGGTTCGCCAGAAGTGGCTTAGTCATGCTGGAGACATGACCCGGAAGCTGTACGCCGGCTCCCTTGGCCAATAAAGTGAGATGAGCGCCGCAACCCCAGAGTCGTCCACGACTGGACCTAATGGTCAGGGGTCCCTTTACCTTTACAATAAGAAGAGAGCAAGAGGGCCCTTGAAGTTGCCAATCAGTAGTTAGCACCACCTGGGCAGCAGACGGAGCAGTCGCCTAGTCAGTTTTCTCAACTATAGGGAGGTATACTGTATTTCTATTTAAATTATAGGAATTTGCACCAACTCAATTGGCGTATGCACACAGACATCATCAATTTTGGTGATGCTCTCATTTATTTATTTTTAGGCAATGTGTTAAGTGGACACTGTAGGTGCAGACGATATGGCGGAGGACAAAACAAAAGGCAAAGGCATTCTGCAGCTTCCTAATTTGTCTTCAGTGCTACAAACCTAGCTGAGAGTAGGAAAAAAACTTTCAAGAGGGGCAAATGGCCTTTACAGAAGAGTTTGGTAGGTCCCGGGGTAGGTGGCCAATAGCACGCAGGCTGATGGGATGCCCGATGTATGTTGTCTATTCCTGTGGAAGCTGATTCTTTGGTGGAAAGGAAATTTGTAAGGGCCCCAGGCCTCTAGAGAAGACTTGGGAAAAGAACCACTCAGCCTAAACGTAGTAGGCTGAATGCTGATTATATTCATGCAACCCTAGCAAAGCCAATGGAGCAGTATGTAGTACAAGTTATTAGCCGCCAGCCCTCCCGTTTTGCTTTAGAGTCCGAAACCTTATACTCCTGAAACTAGCAGAACTGGAACAGGAAGCCATATCCGTCTAAAAGCCACAGCCTATATTTATCTCGCCAATTAGCCTCCAATTTGGAGGCTAGCAATTTGTCCTGCTAATTTGCAATGAATATGTCATGTTTTCATTTGCCCTATTCCCGTAGGGGTGGATTTATTTTATTTTAAATTTGGGTTTAGCCATTCCTATGAATTTAAGGAGGGGGGGGGATGAAGGAACATTCTTTCCAGAAGGGGAAATATGAATGGCTTTATTGTTGAATATGAAGTTATTTGCCACAGTATGACTAATGGACTGGTTCTGGCTTGCTAAGGATCATGCAATATTCAGGTTTTCGCATTCATATATAGGATGCAACTTACTCTGAAAGGGGGAGAATTTTAAGTTACAGCCCCCTTCTTGATTATTAACAATGTGTAGTATGGGATGTGGTCCAATGATGATAATAATTCAGCCAAAGAAGATAAAGATAAGCACATTATTTTGCTGTTTTTGAAAATGGGGCTGCCACTTTTAAATGAAACCAAGCCCAGGAAACACATTTGCTGAATGGAAACACTTTATAGCAGTAAGTAGCAGGAACTAAGGAGTTGTAAGTAATTTCTTTTTTTACAATTTTTTATTAGTTTTTACAATTTACATTTATATTCAAATAGTATTCGTAATAATCATACGCATAAAAGATTTCCTGAATCCTTGAACTTCTCTCTACGCCTCCATGAGTTCCATTTACATTCCCTTTTTCTTTTACTGCATCTTATAAGTTCTCCATTTTCTTGAAATTCCCTATTTTCCCACAGTTCTTGTTACAAGTGTTGTTACAATCCTGCCAAAGTTCTTAGTTGTTTACAGTGTTCTCCAAGATAAATTATATATATATAAAAATTCCCATTCCTTAGTAAAGTTTCTATCTTCTTGATTTCTGATCTTCCCGGTCAGGAGTTGTAGGTAATTTCTATTTCCTTAGTTTAGTCAAGTCTCCCTAACCTGAAAAGCACGACACACATTTCTGTGCGCACACCCACTTACTTATTTATATCCTGCCATTCTTCCATGATGAAACTCAAGTTGGTATTACATTGGATTCTTGGGCAGAGATCTCCCATACAGGCACTAATCCAACCTGGGACTGCTCAGCTTCATCAAAGTGGCTGTGTCACATGCCTTTAGGCTGGGGGTAGCCAATATGGCACCAGATTCCACCAACTTTGACCATTAGCCATTCTGGCTGCCGCTGATGGGCATTTTAGTCCAACAAACATCTGGAGGGCACCATGTTTGCTCCCCCTGCATCTTGGACATATGCCTTGCTGTTGAAGAAACTGTGTGTGAAAATGGCTACTGAGTGTTTGCTTCCCAGGCCTGGAAAGCCCCATTCTGGGAGTTAGGGCTGCATGCCCAATTATTTGTGTGAGAAGAGAGCAGGCAGCTGAATCCATCCCTTTCCTCCCCTTTCCCAAATAGATGATTGGTGCTGTAGCCAGCAATCTGACTGTGCTGCTTGTGGGTCTGGAACTATATACAACAACCCATTGCTGATTTTGCATGATTCTGGGTTATGGCCAACTACATGAGACATATTAGTCTGTCACATTATATAATAGGGATATATTTCATGCTTCAGCTGTCCTTGTTGGCCAGCGGGCTGTTGGTTTTTTCTTTGGGGGTTGTCAAAACTTGGCTGTTTACTAACAGTTGCTACTCTTCAGGAGATAGGTCCCTCGGGGGCTCTGGAACCCATAGAAAAGTTTGATCCCCCAACCTAAAATGATTAATTTTTTTTTCTTTTTCCCATGGGGGCAAGGGAGAATCCAAAATACAAATCTTTGGGGAGTCTTGTTTTTAACAGCTATCTTACTTTATTTGTGAGATTTTTCAGTCTCCTGGAATGCTTCAAAGAGGAGCTGTTCATATTCGCATGAATAATGCTTGCGGTTGACATGGAAATGTTGAGAGTGCGGTGTTTGCTGCTGGCCTTTTCAACCAAATAGTAGTACACGCACATAAATCACACTCGTTTTTATTGCTTGTTGTAAAGAGCTCTGTGGATAATACCCTACTTTCTGTTGTTGCACGTGGCAGTCTGATAAGGCCAAGGTATGCTTCCGTGCTGCTCTTTGGCAAGCGAATACATTGCCTTTGACAACTGCTGCAGACATTAAAAGTATCCCGCTGGGATGCTGAGCATATGAATGGTCTTAGACGGAGTCAGAAAGCTGGTCAGTCTGCCTAGTGTCAGACTGTGCTTGTGACTCCAGATCACAGGGTCTTGTGCTAGCCTCACAGTCCTCTCTGTCAGACGTATGAATTGCATACCCTATGACATTCCTCATATGAAAATAGGGGCAATTCTCACTCGCCCCCCCATCCCTCTCCCATGCAGAGCATTTCCTATCAGAAGAAGGGCGAGTTCCACCACTGCTACACCATCATCATCATCATCATTTTTTATTTGCATGCCGCCTTTCCACAGTTAAAAAAAACAATGCTCAAGGCGGCTTACAGCATAACAAGAATTACATAATTACAAAAGTCATAAACAATAAATAAACCACATCAAAAAAATACACAACCAAATGGGAAACAATTTCCACATAAATCAACATCTAAAACTAAGAATACATCATTAGTATCACAGTTTAAAATGACATAGGTAAAAAATAGCAGCAATTTAAACAAAAACAAAACAATGAGGCACATCCTCCATTGAACTGAGAAAACCCCTTAATTCCAATCTTATTCTATTCTTTGGTGGATGTACAAAAAGAAAAACACACGCCAATAAACACGTTTTAGAAAGGGGCAAGATCAGAATGGATGCACAAAGTATTCTTATTTTTATATCGAGACTCTTTGCGCTCCGCTCCTCCTTGCTTGCTCTCCAGCAGCCGCTACAAGCTGCCCAGGGGAGGAGCCCAGCAGCAGTGGCCAAGGAGAGGTAACGGGATGCTCCTTCCCCATCGCTCAGGACAAGCGCTGGCTCATCCTCCTTCTTGAGCTTGGCGGCGGCAGCAGCACTGGCAGGCGAAACAGGGACATTCCAGGATCAAATCAGAAGCTGGGGTGACTTTCGTAATCCTAGGACTGTCCCTGGAAAATCAGGACACTTGGAGGGTATGGAATTGATCAGTAACCACTGCCAGCAGAAGGTCACGACTGCATGGCTGGGCTGCAGAAATTGGAAGTGTCGGACCACCACTCAGAACCCCTGAAATTGCAGCTGCGCTTCATGTTTGTATTGTCACAGGAAGTGCCACCTGTTGCATCCTCCTTGCTGAAAGAGGGACAATGCAGTATTTTGTTTTTCCTTGTTCCTCTGAAACAACAGAAGTGCAAGATGATATAGACATGGTCTTGGGATGAAGGTTTAGGCATATATTTAAGCTGCTTATCTTAAAACCGTAAAGGTGGCTTCTAATAAAGTTAGATTAAGTACACTTAATATTTTCATTGTTCGTACTGCTTTCACTTCGGCTTTTGCTGAAATAAAAATGTGAACAGTCTACTTGTTTCTCTTTCACGCGTCATAAAACACACGCCAGTGAGAAAACTCTTCAGTTCTCTCTTGAAGGAGGGAGAAAACTAATGCATTTTGTCTTTTATTTAGGTGTCAAACTGGTTTGCCAATGCAAGACGTCGCCTTAAAAATACTGTCCGGCAACCAGACCTCAGCTGGGCTTTGCGAATCAAGCTGTACAACAAGTATGTTCAAGGAAATGCTGAAAGACTTAGTGTAAGCAGCGATGATTCATGTTCAGAAGGTTTGTTTTCAATATATATATTTGTAGATGTCCAAGCAAAGCCAGTAAAATTGAAAGTGGCTGACAGTTCTCAAGAAGCTGGTGCTCTTGCAAGCTGCAGCACATGTGCATGCTAAAATTTAAGAAGCATCCATTCTGGCTTTGAGGAAGATGAAATCCTGGAAGCCATAGGGCTTAGGTGATCCCTACTTTCTGTACAGTGGTGCCTCGCAAGACGAAAATAATCTGTTCCGCGAGTCTCTTCGTCTAGCGGTTTTTTCGTCTTGCGAAGCAACCCTATTAGCGGATTAGCGCTATTAGCGGTTTAGCGGCTTAGCGGCTATTAAAGGCTTAGCAGTTTATCGGCTAAAAGGCTATTAGTGGCTTAGCGGCTTAGAAAAAGGGGGGGCAAAAAAATCGCAAGACTCGCAAGACGTTTTTGTCTTGTGAAGCAAGCCCATAGGGAAATTCGTCTTGCGAAGCAACTCAAAAACGGAAAACCCTTTCGTCTAGCGGGTTTTTCGTCTTGTGAGGCATTCGTCTTGCAGGCCACCACTGTACTTTTTATTTCATTTTACAATGTTTTTTATGACTGGCTATCCAGGCAGCTGATGGCTGTAGGACTTCTGTGGAAGCACCTGCTAGGCATCAGAGCCTTGGTCCATTTTGTCTCCATTTTGGTCACATGCTGGCAGTTCAAGGAATTCTTTTGCCATCTGCCTCCACTCCCTCAGAATGAATTTTAGGTAGCCACTGTGTTTTCTCTTTTGCAAGGTGAAAACTACCCCTTGTCAGGGATTGGGCTGCAATTCCTAGGGCTATCTTTGCTGCCACAGTCAAAACAAAATAAAAAAATTCCTTCCAGTAGCACCTTAGAGACCAACTAAGTTTGTTATTGGTATGAGCTTTCGTGTGCATGCACACTTCTTCAGATACACTGAAACAGAAGTCACCAGACCCTTATATATAGTGAGAGGGTGGGGAGGGGTATTACTCAGAAGGGTGGTGGGAATGGGTGATTGGCTGATAGGTGTGGTAAACCTGTTGACGGCTGTTAATGACTGCAATTGGTCTTACAGGAAAAAGCAAGGGGTGAGGTGGCTAAAAATAGCTTTATAATGTATAATGAGATGTATAATGCTGCCACAGACACCCCAAAAATCAGGTCCATCTAGGCTCTTGTGCTACATTACTCCCTAAAATAATGGTGGTGATCACTCTGACAAAACACCAGCAACACTCCTGCATGTCATCAATAGATGCCCATCAACAATTTGATTTCAGCAATTCTCAAATGGCGCACCACACCATTTGACCAAATTTAATTTCATGACCTGTTCAGCATATAAAACATATGCTGATCATAAATCAGTTGCTGTAATTCTTATTGAAGATCAAAAGAGTGCTCAGGAAATACCCTACCCCTTCTTCTAGTTTGAAGAAATAATCTGAAACTGGTTTTAGATGAGGTAGGGGAAGTGACTGGTGGCATCTTAATGGATTTTCAAAATAGCCCTTCTTATAATCTAGTCTGATCTCACTTATCCTCTAAAAGCTGAATTATGAATAAATTTTTTTAATTTTTTTTAAAAAGAGACATAGGTAATGGTGTTCTCTGATGGGTCTTCTCTCTTCAGATGGCGAAAACCCTCCCAGAAGCCATATGAATGAAGGGGGATACAACACGCCCGTTCATCACACCGTGATTAAGACTGAAAGCTCAGTAATTAAATCTGGAGTTAGACCAGAAGGAAGTGCCAATGAGGATTATGTATCGCCCCCCAAATACAAAAACAGCTTGTTGAACCGCTACCTGAATGACTCGTTGAGGCACGTCATGGCCACAAATGCAGCCATGATGGAAAAAACAAGGCAAAGGAATCATTCGGGTTCATTTAGCTCCAACGAATTTGAAGAGGAACTGGTGTCTCCGTCATCCTCCGAGACTGAAGGCAACTTTGTCTATCGGACAGGTAGGGTATAATTTCCAAAGCTCTCGTGTTTTGTTCATTCATTCAACCTGGAAACAAATGTTATGGCTCCTGGTGGTGCTAATTTGTCTTCTCAGAGTGTTTATAATTCATGGCACTTTTAATTATGGCAAGTACCATGAAAACGCAGCCATCTCATCAGCAACCTAGTGAGGTAGGTCATTGTGGTTTTTCCTGGGCTTTTTGCAGATGGATGTTTTCGGATGAGAGTGAATGACTTGGTTAGCCTCCCAAATGTTCCTATGATAAACTGTGAAAACCAGTCAAAAGTTCCAGCATGAGGACAAAGCTCATTGGTACTAGATTATGAAATACAGTCTTCTTAATTTGTGTATCCAAACATGTGTATATACACTTGCTGTACTGTTTTTTCCTTCAAGAAAGGCACAAAAGAGTTTGTGTGACCGAAAGTAGGTGCTGGTGAAAGATATCTGAGTTTAGGCCACCAGTACTGAAATGGGTACTTGAAATATTCCTGCACACCTTTCTTCAGATAAATCCATATACAGATTGACAGCAATTACCAGTTAGGAACTTAGCTGGGGTATTAATCATTCCAGCCATGGAAGATAGAAGTGCCTCATTCTTGAAGACCTGTGGGGAAGGGGTTGGTAAACTACAGATAACTGAAACTTGCTAAAACTGGATCAGTTCAGGGCATCCTTTGTTTGATCTTATCACATATATGGTATGCTTGGATTAATACAGTCATAACGTGGTTCTCGAACGGAATCCATTCCGGAATTCCGTTCAACTTCCAAAAATGTTTGAAAACCAAGGCACGGCTTCGGATTGGCTGCAGGAGCTTCCTGCACTCAGTCAGAAGCCAGGTTTGCGGCGTTCGGGAGCTAAAACGTTTGAGTCGCAAAGTGTTCGACAACCAAGGTACTGTATAGTCATCATCCCTGACCATTGGCCATGATAGTTGGAGCCAACGTCCAACAACATTTGGAGAGCAACAGTTTGGGGAAGGCTGTTCAAGGCTTTTTGTGGGGGTTCTGAAGATTGCTTGGCTGGATTTCAGTCAGGCACGTTCTGTTTGGTTTAATCCTCACAATTTCCAGAACTTCAGCAGGTCTTCCACTTGAAGACTAAATGATCACACCTTGAGTTGAGGGGGTTGGCTGGGTGCAGTATAACATAGTGCTCTAAAACATTTTGCGTAGAGTAGGAGCTGTGGTTGCATAGTTAGTGTTTTCCAAGTGAAATCTCTTGGTTTTTCGAAAGCTATTTTTCAACATTCCAAGTGCATTTGGTCTACATTATGTGATAATCGCCTGCCAAATTTTAGTTTTAAAATGACTGTTGTTCAAATGAGCACACGGTAACTTAAGACAAGTAAACTTCTGGTTTTCTATACTTACACAACTGGAATTTTAAAAACGGGCATAATCTTGAGTAATCAAATTGTTACTGGACTCTGTCTCTTGCCTGCCAGCATTTTAGCTTTGAGTGGGGAAAAAAGCCTCTTTTAATAGGCTGCGGCAGCTGTACGATAACCGCTGCAGCATTAACGGGCTGAGCATTTGGAAAAACAAGCTACAAATTGTTACACGATCGCTCTAATCTCCCTGTTTTTATGTGTGCAGAACCTCTCCTATTTAGCATGCAGTCACACTTACCTTTCACTGCAACCCTTTTTTTATTCAAAGCGCAAAGCTACAAAGAGGTAGATTCATAGCATGTTCATAGCTGCAAACAATTCTAGTGGGTTCATTCCCCCCAACCCCGCGCATACTAAAACTGCAAGAACAAAATTTATTTTATACACAGCGTGGTGTTGTATTGAGCCCTTGCATCTACTTCTAAAATACATTATATTCCAGAATTTATTTTACTACTATCTTTTATAAACATCTTAGCCATCTTAGATCAGTCTGTTCCGTAAATGCCATGAAGATAACTTGCATCTTTCTTTTTTCCCTCTCTTTTTTTTAAATCCTCAGCAACATATTATCATTTTCTGAGGTCTTCCGAAACGTCTGTATATAAAAACCCTAGTGGAACTTAACAGCGTGTGGCTATTTTGACCTCTTTCCATACATACAGTTTGGATTACAGAACCAAAAACATTTTCCAGAGGGGGAGCCATATAAGCCTGTTGCAGCAAAAAAAGGTCTTGTGGCACCTTTTTAAAGCCTGACACATTTATTATGGCATAAGCTTGAGTGGCTTGAAGCCCACTTCATCAGATGTATGAAATGCAATCCTAAACTGGCAGGCATTTAACGGGATGGGCGGGGGAGTGAGGTCAGCAGGAAATGAAATGCAAAAAGAACAGACAGTGGCAATTATGTAAAAAGCAAAATAGTTAGCGGCCATTAACAAAGCCTATTTTCCAGAGGGCATTTGGAGGAGGAGAGACCTAATTGCCACTTAGTGGCTCCTTGTTGTAAGTTCTAAATGGATTGTGTGTGTTTTTCTGGATTTTGATGTCTGTTTGTTTCTATTGTAAACCTCTCCTGTGGCCTGTGCAAAATGGTTCAATAGAAACCATAGAAAGAAAGAAAGAAAGAAAGAAAGAAAGAAAGAAAGAAAGAAAGAAAGAAAGAAAGAGGTGTTGGCGATAACGTAAACTGTCTGGTATTCCAAGTCAGTTTCTGCCACGTTAATTACATCCTGCAGTGTTAGTTTGGAATGTTGGTTTGTGCAAGCTATCTTAAATCACAATTATTAGCATCCATACCAAGTATATATATATGCAGACATATATTTATTTGTTATACTTTGCTGTTACATGAGACTCCCCACTGTTCTCCTACCATTCATCTTGACCCAAGTATAACATAATTGTTGCAATGAGACTGTATTGTTCGGAGTGATTGCCACTGGGGCCAGTCAATGAACATTCTGCACAGCCAGCTTCTGAACTCAGTTCTCTTAAGAGGGTTATGCCATCTCCATCTGACAACTCACCAAACAGTGTGAATATAGCACACTCTCTATTCATCCTAATGTCTGTGTGCAAATCAGAGTGGCAAAATTCTGTTCATCAGCACTTCTTGCTAAGAGCCAGATGATTAAAGCTTCTGAACCAACCACACTACCACCCAACATCTCGATTTAGTGTAGTTGTCAGCATGTAACGTGGCACCCCAGGGCTATGCTGCCCATGAGGCAGAGCAAACCAGCCACCGCTGGCAGTGGAATCCTGTGGGGCAGTGCCCCTGCGGGCATCCCATCTGCCCCTGCCGCCACTGCAGTCGCATGACGTCCCACTGGAAGCTGCCACTGGAGCCACGCAACCCCAGTGAGCAAGGCTTCAGTGGGCAAGGAGTGGGGCTGGGCGGCCAGCACTGTTTTGCCTCAGGTGGCAAAACAGGACAGGCCTCCCTGGTGCACACCCATATCCTAGCTCTTTGCTATGCTGCTTATTCCAAATAAAGTGGTACCTTGGGTTACAAACACTTCAGGTTACAGACTCCGCTAACCCAGAAATAGTACCTCAGGTTAAGAACAGTTTCAGGTTAAGAACAAATTAAGTTCTTAACCCGAGGTACCACTGTAGTCTTTTGCTGGCCTGTAAGCAATAAAAATTGTGTTTGATAGCAATTTAGCGGAGGATCTGTGATTATAACAACCAAGATGGATTGTTTGCTTAACAGCCGATTGGCACATGGAAAAGATATACGCAGAAGTTTCAAGTAGTGTTGAGTGAGAAGATTGTGGCTTTTGCCTCACTGGAATACAGAAACCAATTTTCCTGTATGAGGTGTGTTACCCAGATTGTGGTAACCATGGAAAATGCATTGTATTTGGGTTTGATTGGTGTTGGATCTCAGGGCCAGCACTTGGTTTTGATATCAGAGCTTATTCCTGGAACATGGCAAGTAAGAATAGTTGTGAATGCCTCTGTGAAAGCACAGAGTGCATTGCCACCGAGTAGCCACAGCCTGTCTGAGCTGAATTGAGCTCCTGACGGTATACATTGCCTCCTTAAAGCTCATTATTTCCTTCAAAGAATTTTGGGCACTGTAGTTTGTTAACGGTTGCTGCGAATTATTCTGTCAGGAGTGTACACTACAGTGCCATGAGTTCTTTGAGGGAAATAATGTGCTTCAAAGATGTAGTGTATACACAGGCTTCATCTTAACAGAAATTAAAATCTTAAGAACTTCAGTCCAGAGCTTATTTGAAAGCAGCAGCTCCAGATTGTATTGAGAAATTAAGAGCAGTGGACAACAGAACAAAGGAGAACTGAAAAGATGGGGCTGTCGTTGATTTTATTTGCATTTGTGTTGGTAGGGAAGCCAGAGCAATTAAAAATGAAGCAATTTAGATGGGGAGATCTTGAAAAGGCTGTTTTTGAAGACTCTTGCTTATTTTAGGTGTTTACATTGAGGGGAATTTGTGGGTTTTGGATCTCTCCTCACTTTCTTATTGACTTCCCTTTTTGCCCCTCTATTTATGGCGCTTGACCTTTAATATGTTCTGTAGCAATAGATGCAGCACCACAATTCCCAGTGGTTCTTCTGAAAAGTCAGAGTGCTCTACGTCTTAACTGAAAGACTGTTCAGAAGAGGCCAGATTCATAGGTATACTGTCTTGTCTGCCTTGCCAAATTTTGTTGTTGTTTCCAGTTAACTTTTACAAAACATAACATGTATTTTATTTTTTTAAAATTTTGTTTTTTAAAAGGGCAATAAGTGCTACTCTTTTTTCCAGGACCATTCAGGGGCTTGCAAAAAACAAACCAAAAACAAACCAAAAACCCTCCTTTGAGCCACTCCTGAACATCTGAACTGCATTTTTGTGAAATGTGTTGTAGATTTCTCTAAAGGAAAGGGGTATTGTCATCAAATGCCCACCCCTACAAAGTGCAAAACCCGACTCATGCAGCAGGAAAATGAGAATATCAAATAAAGCATGAATTCACATTACTGATATGTAAAGGATGTGTAATATTTATGGGATATTTGTAAAAAAAGAAGAAGTTGGCTAAAAGGCGTTTTAAAGCATTCTTGTTTTTTAAGCTCTTAGCT